CACATGCAGCATAATGAACAAAGGACACGGTTCAGTTTGGGTAGCAATGGCGATGAATTGCCCATGTCTGCTCTCCCTTGCTTCTTCTCGCTCTCAATGTCCAGACTCGATTTAGCGAGTCGAATCCTCCACTCCAGAGATCGCGTAATTCCCTGTCCATCTTTCCACCGCCGCATCCGAGAAAACACGAAGTGATCTCCGGCTTAGGCCGTAGTGTCAGGAACAAGCCTCGCTCGCTTGACCTCCAACCGAGACGCCGTAAGAGGTAAGAGAACATGAAAGGCATTCGGTCATGCGATTCATCGTGCCATAGTAGAAAAAGAGCTCTAAATGCGAGAGAAGAAACCTCTGAGCTTGGCAATTATACCCCACCAGATTGAAGTCTCCTCTCCTCTCGTCAACAACGCCCTCCTGGTGTGCACAGCTCTCTCCTCCGCTATTCTCCATACTAGCACGATGCATGTCTCAACTATTCCTCGCATAAAATCTAGATTCCGGCTCCTCTTTTGGGGGTCAAATTACATGTAGCTGATCCCCGCTTTACCCTGCGGGATACTGCAACTACAGCTCGCGATATCGCTTGAGCTGATATTGGCCAATTAATGTCTGCGGCTTACACGCCGACTCTGGCTGCACCCTCTCTGCAGAGCGCTAAGAAAAACCACTGCATCGGCCTATGCACTCACAAAAAATGAGGCATAGACGGCACTCTCTTGCCCATTGATAACCGTAAGAGGTAGGAAAAAAATGCCTCTCTCGTAGGATACGCACACATGGTCTGATGTTAGAATCCACATGGCAAAACGGCACGGAATGCAACTCCGATGCGACCGTCTTCATAGTGACTGGGCGCAAAGTGCAGTCGCCTGTAATGAATTGTGCATACGCGTATAAGAAAATCTAGAGCCTCATACTGTGCTGTTTGCTGAGAGAACGCAGCCCGCAGCCCTCTCCAATCTGCCTGCAGTAAGTAGGAAGCGGGAGGCAACCATCCTAATCTCTCATATCGCCACCTAATCTGCTGTATAATAGAACTCGAAACAATTGCAGGGCCAACCCGGCAAAACATTAGTTTCCGCAAAAACATTAGATTTTATGAACAAAAGCCCAGTTTGCACCGATTGCATCCACTCCCCCGCCAAATCTCTCCCCAGAACCTCTGTTGTTTCTTCTGTTCGGCGATCATTCAAGAGAAAGGAAAAAAAAGATATTCAGGAACAGGCGCCCACCAATCTCAACCCGCAATTTAGCCCCAGGCACACAAGAGTAGCTCACCCGTTCTGGTCCCTTATTCTTTCTAAACGGGCGCCCAACGTGTATAGATCAGGGTTCCCCCTCCGCTCTCCGCCCCACGGTTTCAGCCATCTCTGTCTATCTCGAGTCAGGAGAAATAGAATATAAGACTTACTAAAGGCCTAGTTTTATAAGGAATAGGAAAGTATCTGCAGAACTTTTTATTGGGGTTTCAAGCATGGAGAAACACGTGGAGGGATTTACCTCTTGGGGGAATTGGTGTGTGGATTGACATAGATCGGGGCGTCACAGATTGAAACTTTTCGATCGCCTTTGCGACAAGATGACTTCATTTTGACTTGCCCTCCCTACATATCGTCTATGATGCAATGCATATTGAGCACTTTCGTAGATTGAATTTGTTATGAAAAGAAGGAGCCAAAAACTCCAAAATTCAATATAATTTGTATTTACTTTTGTGTTTCTATTCATAGCTGATCAAGATGCAGCACAGCCTCGTCTCACCCAAGCCATCGCGCGTGCATTAAATACCACCCTTCAGCTGGCTACTCGCATAAACCCATAGACCTCGACACCACAAACTTCTACATCTACATAAGCAGATGTGCAAAAGAACGCTGATGCTGTTTGCCACCGGAAGCGCCTTTACAGATTTCTAACTCAAATCAATCCACAATTCAATATCTTGCATCTGCATGCCACCCATTTCCTCGATACAGTAGTAGCAGGTGGTAGTAGAATTACAGTTGTATAGCGCCCTGAACAGAATGCACACTCCATCACCATCAAATCCTCCTCATTCCTCCACCATCCCCATTCCATAAATAACCCAATCAAACCCTCACGGCCTCATCATTAAACAAAGCAAAAAAGTACTAGTAAAATGAAATGAGAAAGAACCACGTAGCCTCGCATCACATAGCATTACATCGCATCAAGCAGCCAACACACCGCACAAATGAAAACAAAAATGCGCCCATATACGCATTTACCTGCATGCCATCCCCTGCCAATAGCAAAAGTAAAAGGTCAGTTTTTTTGCCCATGCCCATGCGTATGTATGTACGTGCACCCTGCATATATGTAGGCCTCGCAAACAAGTCACACCGCAGAATCAACACAACAGCCTTGTTTATTTTTTTCTGCAAGCAAATACCTAGTATTGATGCCTTATACACCCCCCTCCTCACTCATATATCAGATCAAATATTATTAAAAGAAAAACAGACATGTTATAGCAGCATGGGCCTCTCTCCCTGCAGCCTCGCGCAGCCATCGCTTTGCTCCATGAATCATTTGAGACATGCATACGCACAAACCTATTACCAATCCATTCCGCAGCCTCTAGCCCTTTAGTCCAATAAAGTTCATCATTTGCTTCTTGACATGTAAGACAGAGAGCGGCAGCCGCAGTAGCAAAAAAGACAAGAAGAAAAAGTGACAGAATCCAGAATGCGTCGCAACTCGCAAGTCATGCCCATGGCCGACCGCCCAGGCTTGGCCCGGCCCGACCTTTGGCCCCAATACGGAGAGGGTTGGGTAGCTGCAGTCCAATGTTCACAAAAAAGAGCATTCGTACATTGCTTGATTCACAGCATAACAAGCGACAAACAATCGATGCACAGAAAGGTAATCATAATTTGTAGTCATGAGAAAGTAATTTCGTATTCTAATACTAAAATAGCATAGGCTTCGCAGGCCCAGATGGTATCACTATAAAACTAAAAAAAAGAGATGATTCTCGCAGTCTATATCGCAGCGCACCAACGACAAAGAAAATAAAAGCATAATAAAGTGATAATAGTCAATGCACGCATTGCGACCTCGCGCAAGCGGAAGAAGTAAATGGTAGAAGAAGAAGAGAAAGAAAATATCCGTTTATCCCAGGCCCCTCTTTCAATTTCGTCCCGTCGTCGTATATGCATCATGTCGGGGTCCCTCCCCTCTTGGCGCTCAGCGCCTGGGTAGCAAGTATGCAAGGAAAAGAAAAGAAAAGTGTACACCAAGTAATAAAGACGTCAGTGGCTATGCCAAAGGAGCTCTGTGAAAAAATGAGAGCCAGAAATAGCATGAGACCACGGTGCATGCCAAGGAACAGGAATTGGTCCGGTCCGCAAGGCTAGCCTCCGAATGGCGAGCGACGGAGCCCACTCGTGCCATTGTCGCTGATTCGGCATCCTTTTTTTTCTTGCTCTCATTTGTGTACAAGCAAAGAGTCCAAGACCAAGACCCCTGTCGCGCATATGAACTGGTAGGCCAAGCTATTCGTCGCTTGCAGCTCGGCGCGGCCTAGCGGTATCCGTCTTTTCTGCCCCAAAAGTCGCCGTGCATAATTTAGCAAAAATGGGGGTATCGTAAAAAGAACTTGTGCGGAACAAAGGGAGAAGAAAAAAAATTAAGCCAAAAATAAAACAAGTGGGAAAAAAATCGTGGCCATGATCGTCATTTCGTAGTCTTTGTTCGCATGGTGCGCCGAGGCTGTGGAGAAGAGAGAGAGGGAAGAGATCCCCATCAGGTATCGTGGTTCCCAGTTCCCCAGACAGGTAAGCCCAGTTTCGCTTGCAAACGACCTGTCACAAAACACAGGACCGGGTGCTCTGGCGAATCAGCGGCGCTCACCAGCATTGCCGAAATGCCGCAGCCTCCAATTGGAAGCCCTGTCTGCGGGCGACTTTGCGAGGGCGCCACTCACGGCTGGTGCATCGTACTGGTCCAGTACTTGTAACAAGCGAAACAAGCGAAGGCAGTGCGGCACCGGCCAGGGCGAAAGGGCCATGCGCCTCGTACACTTTTCGGGTTGCACCGCATGTGTATGTAGATGCAGATGCACATCGCTCGGAACAGCCAAGAGAGGCATCAGGGTCCTGTGCCGTCCGGCGGCAGCTCGGTGTGTGTGCGGAATGTGGACGTTTGCTCACACTTGCTGTCCGTTCCCTTCCATCAAAGGGATGCCAGATGCTGTGCCACTCACCCTCTGCCGTTCTGACGTCCCGTGCGGTTCTCAACGGCCGCTGCATTCCCGGGAAGCGCGCATCAGGCTATGCCGCATAGAGTGCTGACAGTTTGAGCCGGCGCAGCGGGTGACGAATCCCATTATCTGGGCTCGCGGGGTTGGTTGCCGCGGGAGACATGGGTGCGATGGTGATGATCTTAGCATCAGCTAAGCACTGATTCCACGGGATGTCCCAGGCAGCGGCCGCTTGGAGTGGTCAAGGCTTTTGATAGTCGGGATAGATCCGGATGCTTCTGCAAGGCTGTTGACAGGTCTGTTGACAGGTTGCCAGAGAGATGGCCGATGCAAAAGGGCGTCCGTCTGACCTCATCCCGCAATTGCCCCCCCAGAGATGCAAGTGAGAGCTCGACTTTGACAGGTAATATTTTCAGATTGGATTCGTGGGAAGAGTGTGTGCAGCGGCTAGAATGAGTTCGCGCGGCTGCGAAGAATGGCCGTTGTAAAAGGCTGCATGTGATGTGTCCGATGTCGTTTCTATGGTCCCCCAAAAAAAAGGTGATGATTTCCGTCTATAATATGCCGTATATGCTCGCTTTGCTCAAATTGGAAGGGGTTAAAGTACAGCGGGAAGAGGTGTGTTGCAGCGGCGTATTAGATGAACTGTTGGCTGCGCGGTGTGTTGTGTGTGGAGAGAGGTGGTGAGAGGGAGATTTGTCTCTGTCTGGCCGTTTATTTGTATCCCACGAGCTTGGCGCAGCGCTCGCAGTAGTAGAGGTTGTGAGAGATGCGCACCATGCCGGCTGTGCTGGCGTCGTCGGTCGTTGTCGTCTCGGCAGATCGAGCGCACCGCATGCAGCGCAGCACCAGCACGGAGGCGCTTGGTCGAGGAGAAGAGTCCATTCTGACTGATGAGGAAGAGATGACTGCAGCAGCGGGCATCTTCTGTGAGTGTGCAGTGTAGTGTGAAAAGAAAAGAGGCTTTAGCTTGGATGGACGGTTCAGTTCAGGGCAGGCTGGATATGCTGCAAACGTCGATCCGAGGAAGGGAGTCGTTGGTTATTTGTATCTTGTGTCCCGTGTCGTCTGGCGAGCCGGAGGAGTCGGCGGGGTGGCTTAAACTGCAGCTTGCAGGTGACGTGACTCGAGGCCAGGGCTGTGAATATGCAAAGCGGCAGGCGGTAAGCTGATGCTGTCGTGGAGGATGCGAGCCAACAAGAGTGCAGAATCTTGGTCAATTCCGGTGATGTTTGGTCTTGTCGATGGTGTTGCAGCGTTGTAGTGTTGTAGTGTTCTAGCAGGAGAGAAGTGGGAAGAGGAAAAGAAGGTTTGGATGCAAACGGTTGATACTTGTACTAAGATGTGATCCAGAGGGAGGACGGGCCTTGGTTAAAGAAGTAAAGGGGTGCGCAGAGCGGTAGGGCCACGATAGAGGGCGTGCGCCGAGCAAAAAAGGGTTCCAGCAAGGCAACAGAGAGGATCCACGGCAGGGCAGTGGGCGATCGACGATGGAGTGGTCGGCCAGGATGGATGACAAGGGATCGGCTGAGGCCGCGAGTGCTCGGGCGCCGGAGAAGCGACAGACAGCAGGACGCAGCAGAGCAGGCGGGTGCTGCGGGCGTGTGGATTCGGCATGTGCCTTGTGTGCCGTTCGTTTCAGAGCCGCGCTATTCAAGGTGCAAACAAGACCAGACGTCAATGTGACTTTCTGTTGCGAGCCCGGCCTGCAGGCAATTCCGAGCAAGTAACTTGTTTTCACCACGCCCGAGTCCATGACAGTCTTCAGCCCTCAGCCCTCAACACTCAACACTCATCAAACCATGCCCTGGACATGGACGCTTTGCCCGAGCGTTTCCAGCTGGGCGACAGCAACAACAAGGTTCCCGGGCTGTACGCAGCGTATGAAGATAGGGGGGTGTTCAGCTGGAATACGGGATAAGTGCAAAGCAAGAAGGCTTAGCCAGCCCGGCCAGGGGACAGGGGGCGTGCGCAGCTCAGCATAGCCGGCAAAACGGGCAGGGGAGCAGGGCGTATGCATTTCAGAGCGTTTATGTGCATATGCAAGATACGAGGTCCTCTTTGGCGCTGAGGACCAAAAAAAATAAAAAATCCCAGAGCTTTCAGGGCGTTGTGCTAAGCTCAAAAGGCCACTTTTTTTTTTTCCCATCGAAGGGGCGTGCGTGGGCGCTGGAACCCGGCCTGTCTGGCATTTTCGAACCAGATTGAAGCTTGGTCCACTATGAAGTTTTTTTTCTTCTTGTGTGCCCGACGGTTTATAGATATGAGTAACAAGCAAAAGGAAGCCCATCCGATATTAATCTGGAACACATCAAAGGGCACGTTGTAGGCTTCGGGCTCAATGACTTGTGGATTCATTCATTCACATTGATGAAAACTTTTTCTTTCTTTCTATTCTCATAGTGGATCTTTGCAGGGGCATGTTTGTCAAAGACAGCATCATGGACCAAAGAAAACAGGAAAGCAATCAATAATTAGCAACCCGCCATTGCAGCGTAACCGTCACCGTCCTTCGCCTCACTGGCCTTAGCCGCAGGAGCCCAACGAAGCTTATCAGCCGATCTTGCGCTGGTTGGCCAGGCGAGCGCCGGGAGGATTCGACAGCAGCCGCAAGCCTTGCACACGCAAACGCCGATGGCCGTGACAGCTCCGACGAGGTTTCGACGTTGTGCATGTCTTGAGGGTCTCTCAGCTACCTACCGTAAGCTGCTGTCTCGCAGCCGGCCCCCCAAGCCGTTCCGTTCTTGGCATCGTTCGAGCGCAAGCTGTTTATGGGCCGTCCGGTCCGAGACTCTGTCTTTGGTAGCGTGCAGACGAGCAGCGCAAAATCAATATGCGGCTGCCTTGGTTATTGGTGGCTGTACACATGCACTCACTCACACCACAAATGGCGGTCCGCCGTGCATGCGTGGCCGCGAGAAAAAAAGACCAAGCTTGCTCCGAGAGAGGCAGTGGTACCAAAAAAAGAAACAGCAACAACACACAAGAGACAACAACAACAACACATGCAACGAGCCGTGACGCCGGCCAAACCAACTAGGAATGCCAAGTGTTATGCAGCATCTGTGGTTGCCGTGCACGTTTCTAATTACACGTAAGGGGGGGAACGTGCATTTCATTCATGGTGCCCAAAAGGACTCAAGTTGAAACGCTCAAAAGCTTACGACGACGACGAGAAACATGCCAGCGAAAGCTGAAGAAGCTCGTCCCACGGCTCATGTTGTTAGCCAGCCTCGACAGCCCAGCCCAAAGCCAACCGGGGACATCCCAGACCGAAGGTGTGAATCAAAGTGAAGAGCTGCCTAAAGCCAGCTGAATGCCTACCAGGTAACCATAGACTCATCCCAACGTGCTCCGTGCACACAGAAACGCTGCCCAATGTTGTCTCGAACGCTGTAAATGCGCCGCAATAAGCCACCATGCTAGGGAATGGCGCTGCATAGTTCCAAACTGTAATGGAGAAGATTTATGCCCAAAGCCGCGCGTTTTTTTTCGCACTTACAATAAATAGCCAAAGAATGAGTAACAAAAATTGAAAGAAAGGCTCGGCCAACGGAGACTAGACAGTCCGCCGAGGTGCAAGCCACAATAAACACAAGAGAGAGCTTACTGGTGCTAAGATAACTAGCAACAATTAGCATCGTACCTATCGTATGTAAGTTACAGTAAGAGAGCATGAGATTTCTGTTACAGGGACAGTGGATCACAGATTGGAATTTTAAAGCTGAAAGAGGGCCCCCCTTGGAGGGCTGACGCGCAGCAGTTCTCATGTGAGAATCTTCGGGTCGGACAACCGTCCGATGATCCGGAGTTTTGCGTGTTCTCACCATTTTTTTTTTCTGGAGACTGCTAGAAGAAGAAAGAGAATTATGGAAATACGGCAGAAAGATCCATACGCCCTCTTCAATCCCAAACCTGTCTGCTTCGTACTAACGTCGGGCACCCATATCGTGGCCCCCCCATCAATCCACAATCGGTTATCGGGGAACGAGAAAAAAAGAGAGATTTAACTCCTGCATGAAAGAAACAAAACGCTAGAAGGAAACAAACAAAGTTCCAGAAGGAAAAGGAAAAAGAAGAAGAGCCCACAGAATACAAATGAAAGGGGATATTGATGGAATGGTAATAAGTGGTAGTCGGCCAGTAGCTGCCCCCTCTCTCCTATTCTTTTTTCTTACATCTGTACTTGTGCAATTAAGCTGAGGCAGCGAATCGATGGCTAATGTACCTACCAGGCTCCGTTTTGTGGCCCAGCTGAAGCCTTCTCTCGTATGTTTTTCATTAATTTTTTTTTTAATCTCTCACTTTCGGAGAATAGGAATATGTATACAGACCCTCTGTTATTGGTCGTCTTTATACCTCGCATTCTCTTTTAGGTGCGGTGTTTCGAGGCAAAATGCGCATCCATCCAGCCATTGGAATCTGGACAATGAAAAATGGACCCAGGGCGACGCCCAGCGTGTTTCAGATTGGCTTCGATGGCGCTAGGCTTGAAACAGTAGGGCATCGAAACGGAAAAAGTCATGCTTAGTTGCATGAATACGCCTCGAGTATTTACCTAGCGGGACTGCGAGCTGCAAACAGCAGCCTGCTGCACAACTGGAATTGAAACATTGCGCCGATTCTGACATTCAAACCTCGAAAAAGCCCCAAGAAGGCGGATGACTCATCCCCTTGCAATCTCATCTGCTCCCCCGCAAGGCGGTCTGATTCATCGCTGACTTGGCTGCTTGCTCGCCGATGGATTGAAGATGTCCCCCCTTGCCAGTTTGTCCTTGTGCAGCGCATTGCAGGCTTACGCACATACCTGTAGGTACAGGTAGGAATACGGTATTACTGAACGTGCAGGCTTGGCGACATACGAAGGAACACGACCTTTTGGCTGCCTCCATGGGAATCACATAAACGAACAATACGCGGCGCACTAAACATGATCCTAGGAAATCCCATTCAAATTGAATGCCAAGAAGCGCACTGATTAGTAGCAGAGCAGGGTGAAGCGAAGGTTGAAGCGGGCAAAGATCGATGGGCGCAAATACGGTTCAACACCATGATCCCCCCCCCCCCCGATGCCGCTGACAGCAAAAGGACCCTGGAGAGGCAAGCAAGCAGAACCAAAAATATCTTTCTTCTCCCCTTTCAAAGTTATTCAGTCGTTCCTTTGGCCCCACGTCACCATGATTAGGAACCTATACAAGGCCAAATGCCCTGCTTGGAAAAGTGAGTTTCGTGCTTTAGTACCTGCAGAGGGCGACTCCGGTCGTCAGCCAGGCCAGTTTCACAGCCGGCGATTGGCTCTCAGGTATACAAGTATATGCAAGTATGGGTTCATTTGATGAACTTGGCTTGGCTCCCCCCGTTCATCCATGCAGCAGTGCCTTGTTTTTGTTACTTTGATGCTGGCATTCTTGCAGCAAGCCGGCCAGTGAGAAATAGGAGATGCATGTCTTTTTTGCCTCTTTCTCCAGCTCTCCCCCAAAGCTCGCCTAGTCAGCGCTCTCCGAGCCTCTCTCCCTGTCTTTACTTTGTTCAGAACAAACTCGTTGTTGCTCATTCTCCTTTGCTGGCTAGCGCCATCGGCCGCTCCTTGATTTCCCTGCAAATCTCCGATCCTCAGCTTTTCCCCTGGCACGAAGTTTCCAGCTTCCTCTTCCCAAAGCCTGTTTCCAATATGCAGCAGCAAGCAAGTTTAAAATGGTGGCTGCGTGCGTGGACAAGCACAGAGTTAACGCCGTTCCAAGACATTAATTGATTACGGTGGGGACCTTCTCCTATATTGTCTCGGTTTGTTACGTTGGGGGTGTTCACCTCGCCACGTTTTTGCTGCTCCAGTTTTCATCTTACAAACCGTTTCATCCTGGACACACGCGGGAGACATTCCGTCCTTTCCAGGCATAAGTCCTCGTCGTACGGCGTACGGCGTGCAGCGTGCATACGACAGGTTTGGTGGCTTGCTGAACTGGGCCTCGTCCTCCATCCAAGCCTCTCTCTCTCTCTGCAATTGCCTGTTGACTTGTCAGTTTTCACCTTTTTTCCCATCACAAGGCGGCCCGGCTTGCTTGCTTGCTTGGTTGGCATGAGCGACAACCGGGGTGAGCTCTT